GTGTGTGTGTGTGTGTGTGCAGGAAAGGGAATGACAAGGAAGCTGTTTGCTGACAAGCATTTCTCCAGAATTTTAATCCCGGCCCTCCTCTCTCTGGTGCATGGTGTCTGGTTTTTTTTTTTGTTGCCTTCCCCCCCCCCCTCCTCCCACCCTCAAATTTCCTCCTTTTATTCCACATTCAAATCCTCTTCTTCCTCATCCATCCATCCCTCTTTACCTCCGTCTTCCTCTCCCCCCCTTGTCCCCCCACCGCCTCGCCAGCTGCAGTGCAGAGATCTCCGCCGAGGCTCCAGTCAAGCTGTCAGGTGACCGGGACGGAGGCTGTGACATCACCGCCCCCTCGCCCGACTGTCAGCCTCTCGCCGTTGCCATGGCAACGCCGACAACGGCCTGCAGAGCCGAGGCTGGCGACGAGGCGCCTGCAGGAGAAGCAGCAGGAGAAAGGGAAGAGGCTGGAGAATGCGTAAGGACCTTTCATTTTGTTGTTGTTGCTGTTGTTGTGTTATCTGCTTTTGAGATGTTATTAGCACGCATCTCCCACATCTGCCGCTCGCCGACGTCGTTCTGCAGCAAAAAAAAAAAAAAAAAAAGCAGAAGCTCTCTCAGATCTATTGGTATTCAGGGATGGCTGGGACGGGCAAGGAGACTGCGACACACGCGCACACATATGCACATTTCTCCTGGATCTTTTTTATGCAGAGGTATTTCGTCTCAGACAAGAGTAAGCGTGCAGCGCTCCGTCCTCCAGCTGCAGCTGCGGCTCGCGGTCTCAGGAAGGAATAAAAGGCAGGATTAGGACGCCCCTCCGGCGCCGGGGTTGCTACCGACAAGTCGCCTCTTCGTCCCTTTTGGCCGCGGCTAGCATCGAGCCCCTCGCCGCATCTGCAGATCGGAAAGATTCCCCCGCCTCGCTTCTCCCATGCTGGAGGTAGTTTTATTAGCGAACGGATGTCGAGGCACGTTTTTCTCTCAATTTCCATCTCAGATTTCTGCAGCTTAGCTTGCCCCTGCGTTCCCAAAGCAATGGCTGCTGTTTGATCGCTCGGTGGAATATTAATTATTCTTCTTCGTCTTTACCTGATCACAGCTAGCTCTGTCTGTACTGCAGCTCTCTGATGTGAAAGACCTCGGTGCCCCTTTCCTGTCACGTTCAGCAGGTAGCTGTCAGAGCTGTAGATGTGAAGCCAGTGTCATCCATCCGCCCATTCCTGAGATAAGCAGGGCTGAACTTTGCTCCTCGGGTCGTCTCTTGATTGTGCTTTGTTTTGGGAATTCCTCTCATCACCTAAAGAAAAGCCCAGGAGACTCTCACTCAGCGACTGTTTTCTTTTTTTATCTTTAAGGCTGTTTGATTTCAAGTAGTGATAAGAGCATTGTTTTATGTGTGCTTACAGTCTTTGCCAGACAGTTCATTTTGCGTCTGGGAATGAAATTTGGATTCCTGTCACTCCTGCCAGCCGGGATCAGAGGGATAAGTTAGAGCTGTTATGTAACGCCACCATCACAGCAAAACGTGGTGACGCCGCAGAGGAAGACTCTCTCCACAGACAAATATATATTCATTGCACACAGCGATACGATTCAAACATCCATTTCCGTCAGCGTTGGCGACGTTGCGGAGCAGCTAATGGAAACCCAAAATGCAATTTCTCACACAATGAGAATATTCAGCCTGAACACTTGAATGTGGCGTTATTGATCTACGCCATCATGGGGGAAGACTGCTGACCTCACCGTCGTCCAGCAGACAGCTTATGTCAGAAATGGCTGGGCCTTCGCAGAGCTCTGCACCCAAACATAATAAGGGAAACTTTAGCTGAAGGAAAAGTGAGGTTGACAAATGGTAAAGGTCTTGTACTTGAATAGAGCTTTAACTAGTGCAGAGGAATCCAAAGTACTTTACACTACGTTCGGTCATTCTCTGAGTCACACACACATTCAGCTACTACTGTGACCCACAGCTGCCCTGGGGCAAAAGCAAAAGAGATGCAAGAGGAATAACTGCAGTCTTGAGAGAATTGTGAAGCAATGCCTGTTTGGGACTTATCAGCACCTCAACTAGACCAAAAGCTGATCGCCTGAATAAATAATTCATGCAAATGAAGCCCTGACCAAACGTTGAGTGGATAACTGTAATGAATCTGTGCAGTAAGAGTCACTTTTTTGAATTGAATGACTGAAAAACACCAAGTTTCTGGCTGTATTGCATATATATTAGGATGTTCCTGAATGCACACAAGAACTACTGCTCCATTTCACCTGTTGCCGAAGAGATGTGACCATCCCATTGATCCTCGTGTCCTTTCCATGAAGCAGCACGTGGGCCTGGGTTGCAGGCGCTCCAGTTCGGACGCAGCCTACGAGCAGGCGGAGACGGTGAGGGCGCAGCGTGAGTGCCGCCTCCGGCCCCACTACAGCGATCCCATGCCGGCGGACGCCTCCAAACGCAAACAGCTGGAAATGAAGATCGCCGCTGCTGCCCGGATCCATAGCCACCGCCGAGATAGGGACAGGGACAGAGACAGAGACAGTGGTAAGTAAAGACCAAATGGAGCGATGAGGTTGTTAGGTCTCAGGGAGTTGTGGGTGAGGGTAAAAGTAGGTTGGGCTAAGGGATGAAGAATGATGGGACTAGCTATGAAGGAGGCAACAAGCGAAAATGGAGATTGGGTTGAGGACATAAGTGGTAATGAGGGATTAAGGCAGTAAAGCTTAGATATGAAGAAGGTAGATGTGCCAGGATGATGGGTGAAAGTGGTATGCATGAGGGCTAAAGGGGTAGTGAAGAAGGAGTTTGGGATGAGGTTGAGATAAGGGATGAATGTTGATGTAGGTCAGAAGAAGGAATCATGGAAGAGGGCTGAATGAGACTGAGATGAAGAATGAGGGTTTGAGGAGGTTGGGGTAAAAGATGAGGGTTGAACGAGTAAGGGATAAGGAGTGAGAGTTGACTGGAGTTGGCATAAGAGATGAGGAATTATGGTTGAAGGAGTAAAGGATGAGGATTTGAGGCTTAAGGACTAAGGATTCAAAGGGGTTGGTGTAAGAGATGAGGGTTGAAGGAGGCTGAGGTAAGAAATTAGAGATATAATATCCAGCTTGTCAGTTTTAGTTGATTTTGAAGACAGTAGATGGCGTACTCATCTTTATTAGGAATCTTTTTTAATAGCTACAATTTTAATTGACAAACTTCAATGTCTTTACTGACGTCAAAAGTGTAGTTATTTACCCGCCGGGGGTGCGAAGGCTCAGTTTGCGTAACACTGATTATATTTAGAGCATTCCTGGCTTTTTCTTCGATTGTACGATGCGTAAATGTCACAGACAGAGAGTAATCGATGGCGACTGTCAGACACTAGAGTTGTGGCCTGCTTTCTTTCTTTTTTTTCAATGGTTATGTAAGAATTTCCAGGCAGTGTGTGCTGTCATGATACTGCGTCCTGTTTTTATGTCAGCCCTCATGAATTCCCACTGTCTGCCCTTGACGTCAGTTACATCATCGAGGGTTCACTGACTTTCAGAGTCGATTTATCTTTGGTGTAGAAACAACCCACTGCCACTTCCAAAACCACGGCTCGGTCTTTTATTTGAGCTGACTGTGTGACGTTCTGCGTCCCCGTTTCACCCCTCGTCTCGTTCGGGGAAGCTGTATTCCTCGGTTACTGCCAACTTCTGATTTGTCTTAGCGTCTCTTAAGGAATTCAGTGCTTACTCATCCGAATATTTCGACTTTTCCATCCGGTCGCTCACCTCCCTCCCCCCCTATACATTTACTGTTCCTCTCCATCAATCGAAGCTCTTAGCCACAGAATGTTCGAATCCCAGTCAATATGGCACACCGGATGTTGAGATGACCTTGAAATAGAAAATCAAGAGTACATTTATTTTCTTGGCAGTAAAAAATATCACTCTTTCATTTTTGTTTGTTTGCCAAAGCAAGCTTACAGGAGATATTTAAGAACTTAGACTCCTTCAGTCTGTCGATACGTGTCGATGCACAACGGTATTGACTTTTTTTATCCATATGGCCAAAGGTTAAGTTTCCACTGGAGGGCTGAGGATCTACCTGTTATAGAAATATATCTGTAATAGTTTTTTCTTCTGGACACTACTGTCTGAATGTAATCTGAGTCTATTATGCTAGCAGGAGTCAGCACTATGATATTACCAGGTAGTTAACTTAAAAATATCGTTCCTAAAGAGTACTGTAATTTCTTCCTTCCAGCACCAGCAGCAATCCGCGGCCACTCTGAGCCGCCGGGCGAGGAGCGCCAGGCGGTTCTGGGCGTGACCCGCTGCGGGCAGCACCGCTGGAGCACCATCAGCAGCCTGAGCTCAGACAGCGGCGTGGTGGGCCTGAGCGACGAGCGGGACGAAGAGGACCGCGAGCCACGGCGCTACCGCAGAACCAGGGGGGCAGAGGTGGAGCGGGTGGACAGCGGCATCGGCCCGGGCCTGTCCCGCACCTGGAAGAGGCCGTCCACCTCTCTGAGGGCGTGGGAATCCCAGAGGCCCTGCCCCGACTGCGGACAGAGGGACGGTGTCTCCAAAGAGCGGGGGGAGCGCATGTGCGAGCGCTGCTCCAAGCTGCGGACCGAGCGCAAGGAGGCCATCCTGGAGTTCCTGAACACCGAGTCGAGCTACGGCGAGGACCTGCGGATCATCAAGGAGGAGTTCTACTGCCCCATGCAGAGCGCCGGGCTGCTGACGGCCGAGCAGCTAGCCGTGGTGTTCGGCAACGTTCAGGAGCTCATAGACGTCAACGACCGATTCACCGAACACCTGCAGGACAGCATCGATCAGGCCTTTGACCAGGTGACCTTCTTATCTCTTATGAACACGCAAACGACGTCCACAACTTCATCGCACCGACCCTTCGCAACCACAAGCAAAAATCTAAATATGCAAATGTACGTAGGTGCAGTTTTGTTGTGACGGCTCAACTGTTTCAACCAAAACAACCCTGGCGCTATTAGATGGAACTTCACTCAGGTTTTTCTCCTGTATCTCCAGCACCGGGTTACACTTTGTTCACTTTTACCCCTTTTAATTCTGGCAACTTCAGTGATTCCCTGCAAGCTGTTGTTTTTGTTGATTTACAACTCTTCTGTAGTTTCCACTATCTATATAGACCTTTTTGGGAACTTGTTTGTCAGTTGTAGATATCACCTACTTTAATTGAATAATATTAAATTCAGTGGATCTCCAGAGGAGAAAAGGAAAAGTAAGGAGAGAAGACAAAGTTTGTAGCATCAAACCTTCCATACAGGGAAAAGACACAGCTAAACATAGAACCACTAGCCCAGGTGTACTTTCAGCAACAAAAAAACTCAAGGTGTACAGAGTGGGAATCTTTAGGCACTTAAAGATTTCATTCCAGAAGGCTTTGATGGGAATATAAATTGGTTATAGTCGCAATATGTTGTGCAAAGGCCTCTTGATGGTTCCAAATCCTTCGAATTATGTTTTTCTCCTTTCGGTGTTGCGGGTGAAGGATTTGGTTATGTTCGTCATGAACTAGCCACACTTACGTCCACCTGCTGGTCAGGCTCTGGGTGACTGGATGACTTAGAGTCTGCGACAGCAGTGGCTTTTCATTTGAATTGCGTGTGCGTGGTTTGTTTCCAGGGTGACGACGACCTGCTGACCGTATACATTGGAGAAATCTTCCTGGAGTTCGTCAACATGCTCCCTGCCTTCCAGACCTACTGCCTACAGCAGTCCACCTCGGTCAACATGCTCAACGCTCTGGAGAAAGAGAAAGAACTGCTCAGGTACTTAACGACGACCCATAGCCGTTCTCCCTGCTGGGCTGTACGATGGAAAAGCTGCTCTGGGAGCTTTCTCCTGTTTCTGCCACAGCTGCTCTGTGTAATTATTAATGGATAGGACAGTGAGTTATCACTTATTCAGAGGAAGGTCTATTTTGAGAGCTAAGCGGCAATGATTCATGTTTTCAGACAGAACCGCATCTCTGGCTCTTCTGTAACACCCATTAATAAAGTTTTAATTTTCCCAAGACATGCGATGGCTGTACAAATGCCCCCCCACCCCCTCTTTCTCGTTTCAGAATATTCCTGGATGTTTCCCAGAACGACAACACCGCATTGCGTCGCATGAACTTGCGCTCTTTCCTCATGGCGCCGCTCCAGCGCGTCACTAAGTACCCGCTTTTGTTGAGCCGCATCATTAAGGTCACTCCTGAATGCCACCCGGACTACGCGCGCCTCCGGGAGGCCAAGAGTCGAGTGGAGTCCCATCTGGAGCACATCAACATGAAGACCAAGCAGGAGGGTAATGGCGTCACATGGTCCCTGCGCTCGTTCCGCCGCGACAGCCGCAAGAACCGGGAGGTCATCAACATCGAGATGCGAGAGGTGTCGATGAAGACCGTGGGTTGGGCGAGAGAAAACACCCGGTTCGTCATGGAGGGACCTCTCCAGCTGTCCCAGCCGGCAGACAGCCAGTGGCTGAAAAAGGGCAGCAAGGCCCTCAAGTTCCAAAACGTGCAGAGTCTACTGATGGTGAGGACACAGAAGGGCGGCGACTCCCCAGGGCAGGCCACCGACGTCGGACGGCAGGGGGAAGGCATGGGGGAGAGCGTTCGAGACGGAGTGTTGGTCTTAATCAAGGACAAGAGCAGCGGGAAGTTTGCGGTGCTGAGAGAGCCGATCCGCCTCGCAAACTGTGTGGTGTCGTCAGATCCGGACTGCGAGGACACCTTCGAGGTCCTCGACATCCGGCGGGAGTCGTTTGTTTTCCGTGCCTCGGACAAATCCCGCACCCAGCAGTGGTTCCATCAGATGAAGAGGTACGCCCGAGACTTGGGCACCTGGAGGAAAAGGCGCAACGCTCTGCCAAACATCATGATCAACGCCAACCAGACGCGTTCCTGAGGCTAGCCTCCACCACATCGTTGTTCCACTGTAAATAACCCAAAGTCTCTCAACTCCAGAAACCCGATTGCGACATCTCCTGAATAACACCTCCGTTCTGACATTTTAGATTTCAGTAAACAATCACACAATCTGTCTCACATTGTGTGTGAGAAAACCAAGCACTTTTTTTTCCTATGAAGCAGTAAGTGCGCCATATAATTGTATGTAGATTTAATTTTGAAGCTGTTACAAAAAAAAAAAGAGAGAAAAATACCAGTTTTTTTGAACGACCAAAAAATACTTGGGCTGTTCTTGAAAGCCTTGATTGTAAAGACTGTTGAGTACCTAAAGGTGTGTTTGACGAATAGCATGACTGAACATGACTGGCTGCAAAAAGAAAAAAAACAAACTGTTATGTCATTTTTATACAAGACAGTGAGGATTGCAGACATTTTTGGTAAGAGACGGTAAAGATTTCTTTGGGTTTTTCTTGTTTTTCTTTTTGTTTTTCAGTGGTTTACGTTTTGTTGTCACTGCCCTTTTATCTTTGTGTGCTGCCCTCTACTGTCTGTAGGCGGCATAACAACTTTCACTGCCAGAGATGCAGTTGAGCAGAGCCTCTCCATCGGGCTGAGAACAGACCTTTAACATATCTGTAAGTCAATGGGATTTCACGGAACAGCAATAATCTCAGCCAGTTTCACAAAGTAGCTACTTTATATGCAGTTAATTCCCACTCAATCTGCAGTCGGTCCTTCTGTTTTATGTTACTAGGCAGGTTCACCGAGCCTCTGACATCTGTGTAAGGCGGTTTGATGATTGACGCATCGCTTCGCTATTGCGGCCTCTGTTTTCTTCTTTAGAACCGAAATCATCCTGTTGTCATGAAATCAATTTTTAAAAATTGCGTTTTGTGGATAACGTACACCACTAGTCAGAGATGCACCAAGAAATTCAGGGTGCCGATCTGAATTAGTTCATTTTGAACTCGCTGAATCTCAAAAATCCAATGTTTTTATCTGTCACTTGAATGCACCACACCTCAGTGCTGCTGGCATAAATACACTTCATCTGTTTTCAGGATCTGAGGCGTTCAAAATTTAGTGATAGGGGGAAAAGTCTATTTAATAAGAATACATTTATTTCTATGATATTGTGAGACAATTTTATGATTCATTCAGGCCCTGAATGAATCTTTCATCAGATAACAGGAAGGCTGAGCTTTTTACCACAAAGTCGCTTTGTGTAATGTGATGGATTACGCAGGATTTAAAAATGTTGGCTGCCTTTTAGAAATTCAAGAATCTGTTTATTTTTGTACTGCTAGCCATGCTAATCACAAATACAAGATGCTGAAAATTGTTCAAATTGTCGACTCCGTGAGTTTTATGTCATTTTAAAATCGTATACTCCTGCTTTTCTGGCAGTTCCCCCTGCCCAAATATAGGATGGATAATAAAATATATTGAATTCTGTTCTTTGAGAAATTTAATTTGTGTAAAATGGCTAAAGGCATTTCAAAGCTTTACAAATGCTGGGGATTGTATGTCGGCCACAAAATGGTGCATCTCTGGTACTAGTCGGCCTCGTTGTGTGTCAAGGGCAGAGTTTTTCATCCATGTACTCAGTGCATCGGCAGCTGCGTTGGTTGAAACTATAATAGGTGCTTTCATTTGTTTTTGTCACTAAATAATTCAAATATTTTCCTCAGCTGTTTTAAAAAGTTCATGGAGAAAGAATTGCACTCTTAGATCCTGAAAACCAAAGTCCTTAAGCATTGCAGTCTTACACTTTACAAAATTATGATTGTAGATAGGAATAAAGAAAAAGTCACAATTTACCGTTTCATTTTCAAGAAGTGACCCATCTCAGTTAGTCGGATTATGTCTAATTGTCTCATTGTTGTAAAAGGTAAGCATTCTCTACAAAGGCTGAAAAACTCTGCTCACCTGACGACCCCAAGGCTGGGAGAGAGCGTCCCGATCATGTCACCATGACAGGTTATTAACTGTGTACTGAGACCAGCAATGAGCTGTTGTGCCTTTCTACTTTATTACTGTTAGACGAAGACTGACAAATTCGCAATCTTGCCGCAGTAGCATTGATCTCCACTGAACAGACGAGCCTGCCCTCCGTCTGCACAGGCAATATAATTATTCCTCTTACAGTGAACTGCCTTCTTTTTTTAGTGTGTTTTTAACCAGTGTGTTTTTACTTCTGAAGGCTTTAGTTTGAAGCACTTTATATTTAAGTGAAAGATTTTACTCTCCAGTGTAACTGCTGGTGAAATGTGTTCCTTCATTGGCTAAGATACTGGGTTGACTGGGCACATCGAGACAGAGCCAGTCACGCCGATAATTTAAGACTATTGCTGTTATGTTTATTATGAAGTAGCATTAAGAAGAACATATCACTGTGTTTTGGAGGGCAGAGCTGCTCAACTCCACACTAAGGCTCATTTGCTGTTGGGAGGACAAAAAAAAAAATCTCAAAGAAAACACCTGTATATGGTTTATTTACTTTCCCCTTTTGATTTGAGACATCTTATGTATTATTTCTCTAGTGTAATATATTGTGAATTATATTAAAAAAAGATTTTAAACACTTTTTTCTTGTTTTTTTTTTAACCTCTGAGGAGAAACGCATAAAATGTTGTAACACTTTGAAGCACAGGATGAGAAACTTTTTCTTTTCATAGAAAACAATCTTGCTCCACTACAGACAATAAAAAAAATGAACCTTTATTTTAAAACAACAACAAAACAAACATAAGCCATGTAAGACAATTTTTCCCCACTTCATCCCAACACCAAACAGAAATGGCTAAACAGTCAACTGGCACAGTTTCAAAAAGGTTCGTAAATACATGTCATTTAATGAATCACAGTTTGTTCTTATTTTACGGTGAAGTGCAACACTGTCGTTTCTTTGGCTTTTCACTCCTCGAGTCTCATAAAAAGTACAAACCAACAATCAGAATTTGAACAAAAAAATTCTGACAAGAAAGTTGACCGTCTTAGTGGACCCTAAGATTTAAACTTGTAACTTTTGAACCTTACGGAGACTCCATCTGATTAAATCACCTATTGAACAGCATTTTTTTTTATTTTACAAATTTAACATTTTGACAAGCGAAATAGAACAGAAAAAAAAAAAAGATTGAAACACTCAAACAATATCTCTGACAGTCTTCCCAAACAGGGCCATGCTGCAAATCCAAATGAACGGTGAAATACAATGATGCTGTAACACAGGAACACGTTTCCAAAACTTGCAACAAACATAACCTTTAATCTTAAACTTCTGAATGGAGAACGCCGAGATCCTCTTACTGCCTCTGCTGCCTTTCTGACAGACTGACATCCTTCTGAACCACCGCTCCCGCATGCATTTGCACAAATACATGCTGAAACACTCGCACGCATACACAGACACACCGTCGCGCTGCTGGGGACCTCGGGCAGATCCCCGGATCTCTGACTTTCCAGATCTCCAAGTCTCCAACCCAACCTGCGGCAATCATGCAGAAGGTCCCGCAGCAGGAAGCAGCTGCCAACACACCCCCGCCCTCCTTCCTGCTCCAACAGCAAACCAACGACGCTCCTCGTTCTACTTGTCTCCGCCGGACTCGGGCTCCTTCGCCAGGCCGCGGATGGACAGGTCGTAGACCACCTCTTCGATCTTCTTCACGTCGTACTTCAGGCCGTCGTAGCGCTTCCTCAGCGGGTCGTTCTTCAGGTTGAGCAGGCGGAAGCCCGAGTCCAGCTCGTTGATGAAGTTCGAGATGCGGAGCGGCCGGCTGTAGTCTCCCGCTGTGACGCTGTTCACCGCCAACCGCGACTGCAGGAGCAAAACAAGTTCAATATGAAGCTACTGAGTTTCAAAACCTGCCTACAAACACTGGGATAAATGGGAGAAAGTAAATACAGAAATTTGATCTTATGAAAATTATCTGCAAAGTATACAACTGTTAGATTATTATTATTTACCTGATGTCTCCAACAACTATGTACTTCCCATTACAAGAATTATAGAGCTAGTTTATAGACAGACTTGGTTCACCTCAGAGGGCTTATAAATCCCTGAAATGAGTTCCGGTATACTAGGTCTTAAAGCTACAGCTCACAATATAAATCTCCATCTTATAAAAATTACATGTGAGCTGAAGACATTGCTACTGTTACTTTTCTTGGGTGGCCATTGTTTTATGCACGTATGCATCATCATCACCACCATTTGGCAACTTTCAGCTGCCTTGTGCTCAATTTATTCTTTACACATTTCTTGACTTTGATCATGTAACTCAATACAACTACTGCGACTCACAAGTCTGTATACAGAAATTGACAAAACACTGTGGACGTTAGCAGCACACCACTCACCAGTTCACTGGCCATTATCAGCACTCCTGCCAGGAAATCTTCAACATCCAGGTGAAAGCCCTTCTCTCGCACAACTTCAACTGCCAGAGAGATGGGGGAGGGGGGGGAGAGTTAGGCGGACCTTCTCGCTTATAAAAACGTGGCTCTAGAAGAGAACAAGGCGCCTACTTCCAAGTATCTGAGCCACCTCCTCACGCGTGACGAGGGCTTCACTTTCCAGGTAGACGACAAAGGCCGCCAAGAAGACCAAACGCTGCAGGACAAACCGCCAGTGTTCATGGAACCTGGACAGGCGAATGAAATTAAAATGTTATGGGTTCACAGGTATACAGGTGGAAACAAAGGAAGGTTCTAAATATCATTAAAAAAACAAAAAAAACAAAAAAACAAATGTAAGACTACATCTTATAAACACTACCTGTGCAAGAGATGAAAAGCAAAAACCTTTAGAAATTTCTTGCGGTGTATGTTTAATTTAAAAAAAAAAACCCTACACAATGAAATGCTTTTTTCCCTAATTATATGTATTGTGTCCAAAGTGAATCCTACCTGTAATACTGCTCAGCAGGAAATTTGGTTTTGAGCTCAGCCATGTGCGTCCTGACGGTGCAGAACAACTCCCGTGCCCTGGCACATTTACTGGGAACTTAAAAGGGAGAAGAAAAAATGGCTTTAAGACATTCAACATAGCTTTCAACAAGAAACTAGCATGGCATTGCACATTTTCTCCAAAACTCACTCTCTTTGAACCCAGACGGCTGGTGAACACTTTGAAGCACCGTAAGGATTTCCCTGGCTGTCTGCTCCAAATTCTGGACCACCTTACGAATATCCTGTGACAAATAAATTGTAAAGATGGACACAAGTACAGCAGCGTCAAACGAAGAAAATAAATATATACGAATTAATATAAACCAATAAGAAACACAGAAGAGAGTAGTTTTAAAGTGACGTAGTGGTGAACGCTACATTTCTGTTGTGTTCAGTTGCAGAGAGACAGCCAATTCGGGGAAACAGGTTAGCTTAGCAGCTAACGGTGTGGAGGCGCTAATGTTGATAGCAGCTTCGGTCATACCTCTCTGACGTCCTGGTCGGCGCTCAAGAAGCCCTGGATGTAGCTGAACATTTCAGTCACAGACATGTTCGGATCCTTGAGGAATTACCAGATAAAAACAAAAAGCGCCAAAGGAAAAAAATAAAAATCAGCAGCTAGCCGCTAATAAGTCCCAGCATCAACGTGCAGAGCAAGCCCACCGTCAGGTCTGCTTAAGTCAGCGCGTGGAGATGACGTCACCCTGCGTTTTCTGTATAAAAAATAATAATAAAGTACGAAACTTGACTGCAGCTGTTGAGGTTGGACTAGTTAACTCAATGAAGGTAAATTTTCTTTAACAATGAAACCGAGTTTAAGTGTTAAAAAAAACTACTACTACTATTACTAATGATGATGATCAGATTTCATGTATGGAATTCGATCAGTTTTATACATAAATTCGGTGTTGTATGTGAAGTGTCCTTAGCCTTAACGAGATTTATTGTAAATGCTCTGATGTACTGAAATGTCAAATAGATTTTACACAAACTGTAATTTTTGTAGGACAGTTTACACATTTACTGAATTTTAGTGTAATCACCAGCCTTCTGCCTCTCTTTTTTTAAACCTTAGCAAACACATCCTGTTGGAAAGATTTGTCAATTTTCGGAAGTAGTTTAATATACTATTTTTGAACCCCAGAAATTAGATTACTCCTCTTTTACCTGCTTGGGTTTGGTGTCATGGAAAAACATGTTGCATTACCTCATTCCCTCTGTTGATGGAGCCACAGCAGAACAATTACACACGCTGCCTTCAAGTACCGCTAAAAAAAAAAAAAAGAGTCACCAAGAGCTAAACAGATTTTTTTATCACTGCCGATCATGAAATGAAATGTTCCTTATTATAACGATGTTGTGATGAATCAACATTCAGTTCAGTGGATTAAAAATAATAAAATAAAATACAAAAATGTATCTTAAGAAAAAAAGTAAAACAAAATATAAATCAAAATAATCTTGATATAAATAGTTCAAATTTAGCTTTGGTACGTGGTGTATGTTTCCACATACACCACGTACTTAATGTCATTACAATTGTAATTGTCTTTTAGGTGTTTAAGTTACACGATTTCTATTCCAAAACTTGTACATTATCATACAGATAGTTTCACCAAATTCACTAGGTAACTTTTCCATCCATTTTCTTTACACCCTTGTCCCTTAGGGTCGGGAGAGGTGCTGGTGCCTCTCCAGCTATCGTTCCGGGCGAGAGGCGGGGTCACCCTGGACAGGTCACCAGTCTGTCGCAGGGCTACACAGAGACACACAACCATGCATACACACACTCACACCTAGGGGCAATTAACCTGACTCATGTTTTTGGACTGGGAGGAAACCGGAGGGAGAACATGCAAACTCCATGCAGAAAGACCGGGGCCGGGAATCGAACCCAGAACCTTCTTGCTGCAAGAAGGTCTTGCTGCTCTACCAACTGCGCCACTGTGCAGCCTGCAGGTAACTTTTCTGTTTCGTAAAATTACCGTGTAGCCCATAACACATCGTAAAAATGTAGCTCGAAAGCAGGCTATCTCCAAAAGACAATTAGTAGTATAGTTGTCATTTTTCCAACAGCCATTGAACACATCACGGCATCAACCGCCTGTTGCTCCATCTAGTAAAACTCCGCCGCTCATTTGCGGACTCAGCGCCCGCTGAGTTCAGACGCTGCCAGACGGTAACAACCGCGTTGCTCTTTTTGAGCAACTTTAGCTTGTTGGTCGACGCTGGGACTTTGAAACAATGCCGTTATCTGGACCACAGGCGATAGTCTGAGATGGAGAAAACCTTCACAGAAGATGACTGCGTGGATTCAGGAGCAGAGACCGGGGGGTAAGTGGAGCTGAAGTGTTTCTATGGCTTCTCCTTCTTAATTAGAAACAGCGAAATTGCCGAGTATTTATATTCGTGACTTGAATAGCGCATACTTTTACGACTGTAAAAAGCCGGGCGAGTTTAAAACGAGCAACACGGTGGCGCTACCAAAAGCCTGGAAAAGGTCGTTTTCTTTATTATTTATTAGGCAACTGAGGTAAATACAGTAAACACGCAACATTTTCTTTAAAAAAAAACCCCGATGTGGTTTCGATAAAGAACATGTTTAGGTAACTTATTAAAG